AGATGCTCACCAGACGTCACCAATTAACTGTACATTTTTTCAAAATAAGTTTGTTCAATCATTTCAGACAAAACCCTATATGTTTTCAGTTAAGTTTACACACAAAATATGGCAAAGTAGAAACATCCCATGACATTATAATTGCTATTATAACAAATTGTCCTAAGCTTATTTTGAGAGAACTAAACCCCTACCCGGTCTTCTCCATGCTCGCGTTTCCTGTCAATACACCGACTGCCTGAGCTGAAAAGCAAAATGTGTATTGATTCCAACAAAATGAAAATTTGCATGTTGATTTTCACAAATGTTAAATTTAATTTTTTATTCAGATGCATGACTATGTCAGACAACTTATCATCAGAGCAAGTTGACTTATGTTCCACGGTTTTGGATCTTTACACAGCATCTTGTAAAAATATTGGTAAGAAAATAAGTATACCATATTTGCTTTATTAGTAGCATATGTAAATGAAAGGTAAAAATGAGTCATATTTTAAGGATTCATCTACAATAAATAGTGTTGTATAATCTGTATTAAAACCGTGGCTTCTATTAAAATAGTATTTTGCAACAGAAGGGATGCAGCTTCTATTAGAGCATCAACACATATGAGAAATGGTGAATTTTTGGTTCTCAGTTATTCAAAAATGTGGGTGCGGCTTCTTTTACGGTATTTTCTATTGGAGATGTACTTCTAATAGAGCAACTATTGTGTGTGTTATTAAAAGCCAATTAAAAAAAACAAAATGGTGTCAGTATAATTACTGGCACATGTATGTAAGTTTTTTATTTTTATTTTGTCAATGAGCTGCACTCTTTTTTTTTGCTATAACTTAATTGCGGTTCAACTTTATATATATGTATAGATAAGTTAATTTTTATGATGAATTTAATTAAAAGAAAGTATTTGAAATCAAAAATTACAAAATATGTATATGTGATTTCGGAAAACTCAATCCACTGTAGGTTTTTATTTGAATCCACATTGTTCATTTTCAGAAGAGAATCAAAAAGTGCTTTCAGAGATGCCAGAATTATTAGATAAGTGTATGGATATGTTGGAGACTTCACAATACCCACAGATCACGGAGGCATGTGTAGTTTTTATGTATACCATGTCTCAGAATGATGTTGGTAAAAAAGCCATAGTCAACAAACTAGACATTGTGAGGTCAGTAGATGTTTGTTTGATATATTATAGATGTACCTTGTGTGATTTATTGATCTGGACGTATATTTATTAAATGTGGGCATTATATCTATTACCCCACACTATCGAGCGAGTGTTTTTTAATGACACTTTAACAAAATTACAAAACTGAAAGATTCAGCATTTAGTTGTTACACAGCAGTGAGCATATGTTAATTTACATAAATACAAATGATGTATTGTAAGCTTTGCTATTCGCTCATGAATAATTCAAAGCGTATCACTTCACATTGAAATGAACCTTTTTCCTACTTTCCCCGTCTCCTCCAATGGAAATGGCGATAGTCTATCTGCTGTGGTTGTGGGTTTAAACTTGCCCAACATTTTCAATAATTAAGGATAATCCCCCTCTGTCTTATCATCTCCAGACGTTGCACTGAGACAATAGTGACACAGTCTTAACCAAGGGGGAATTAAGGTTTGATTTACATTAGCAGTTTACAAAATATGTTACTGCATCATGTAATTATTTTCTGGACAAATATTATGTAAAATGTTTGACTTTCAGCCTCAAATGTAAAAAACACCTGTCTATAAATACAGACCATTTTACTGGAATTGCTTTATTGGCTGCTATACCACACATTTGACTGTACATAATATGTAAACCTGGCCCTGAACCTTGTGCATCTTTAGTCAAGGTGCAACATTCAGAGCTGGCAAAGAGATAGGGTTCTTCTTAACTATTGAAAAAGCAGGCCAATAAAAGGGTTCTAACCCACAACATCAATCACAACAAGTAGGAATAACTGAGTTATTGTGGATACCAATTTAGTTTCTCCATAAATATATGCATTAGAATGGTTCTGTCAATGTCATATGATATGCGTTGAATTATAAATGAGTAAATGACGAAGCATTCAATAGACTTTTGTATTTAAATTCTATCATTTTGTTTCATTTATCATTTCATCCCAAACAACTATGTAAATCTTGTAAACTAATGACCACCTGTTGAATTTCCTTCCTGAATACAGTAATTGCTATTACTGTAAAATCTGTATTAGAAGCTGCGGCTTTTATTAAATGGTACAATGCAACAGGAGGGGATGCGGCTTTTATTAGAGCATCTACACATATGAGAAAGGGTGAATTTTTAGTTGTCAATTGTTAAAAAAGAATGGGTATGGCTTCTATTAGGGATGCAGCTTCTAATACAGACTTTACGGTGCTACATGTATAAAGTTATGTATACTGTCACAAATTTTCGTTACCTTTCTATGCAATGCCAAACAAAATGCATTTCAGAAAGCTTAAAACGTCTGTTTTTTTAACCACTCAGTAAATAGTATGAAATATTCCTTCTACCTGAAACTGTGAATTCAGCATGGGTCCCATGCTACATTGTATGCATAGCAACATGTATATATGTGGGTCAAATATGGTGTGTACCAGTATTTTCACATAATTTTAATGCATTCAAATGTGGTTGAAATGATATCATGTACTGTAAATACTTTATTTTATCTGGAATTAATTTTTGCTGAAAATACTTTTTGAGTGTTTTGAATGGAATTTTGAATGTTTTTCTCGGAGTTTTGAGGAAAATGTAAAATGTAGAATGTAAAATATAGGTAAAAAGATATATTCGCTGTATTTTATTTTCACTGTATCATTCCTTCAGCAAAAATAAAGTGTTTTACAGTATTACATTCAATGTTTATACAAACAACGTGTTGCATACAACACATATCGGCAATCATTTCCCTTTGAAATACATTAATGGAATTTGTTATTTTCATCGATAGTTACAAAATCAGCAATAATATCATTTATTTTTATAATGCTACTTACAGATTAATACAAAGTTTATTTGAACTCATAATGGCATCCAGCAAAGTATCAAAGGAAGCGGTTGACACATTAACTAATCTAGCAACAGAAAAAAGGTGAATAGTTTAACTTTTCTTGTTTGAATTTCTTCACTTTTTTCTTATATTCTTCAATATTTCTGGAAATCAACCCTAATGTTGGAGCCAACAGACAAAATTTAAGTCAATTTTTAGATTTTATTCAAAACAATTGGCTAATTTTGTCCCAATCTTCTGAAAGAAAATACAAACTATAAACAGGACTATTTTTTGAATTTGTGGTGAAAAGGTTAAGGAAAATTTACATTTATTGTACGCCCAGCACTGAAAACAATAATAGAACTTGCTGTTTTATTGAAGGTCACATCAACATCCACTATACATTGGTCTATAATCCTACTATTTTCATGCATACTAAACAGGTTTTGTGTTAAACATTTTACGAGTGTTACGTTACGTCATTTGTATGGCATATAGTAATTCATATATAAAATTGAGAGATGCAGTTGTTATAAAGATTGAAATTACTTTAAAACAATATTTTTGTCATTTTAGATTTCTTCACAAAGTTTATGCTAGAATTAAGGATCCAGTTCTACCATTGATAGAAAAACTTTTGGTGAGAATTAATTTCATACTGTTTTTTTTGTGCAAGCAGAATTGTGCTACAGTGGGTAAATTTTGTGTTTTGCCATTGCTTACATACTCTGGTATAAAAATATGTGTACAACTGATAGTAACATGGGTACAACTGACAATCACATGGTACAACTGACAATCACATGGTACAACTGACAATCACATGGGTACAACTGACAATCACATAAGGTACAACTGACAATTACATGGGTACAACTGACAATAATATGGTGTACAACTGACAATTACATGGTGTACTAACTGA